TGGATTTTGATAATCATTGGTGTAGAGGTAGTACACTATGTGAGTGTACTACCTGTAAAATACTAAAGTGCATCACTCAAATATAATTGAGAAAAACAAAGTTTTCTTTAGCACTTTATATATTAGTTATGCATACTCATGCTTGAGCGTGCTGTGGCATGAGTGGTAACGCTCCTGACTCGTTCGCTTGTGTGCTCAGGTTTGATTCTCTTGTTGTGTATACTTTTTTTCCTTTTTGTTTATTCATAAATACTTATAATGTATTTGTGAGATTAGCCGGGGGTACCAAACTGGAGTACCACTTAATTGATTCAGAATCGTGAAATTCGGTCTTTAAATTTTTAAGGAGGGCTTTTTTAAAAAGGATATAGACTGTGAAGTCTCTATCTGATGTCAGGATCCTAGACACCAGTTAATCAAATTTATTTCACTTGGATTAACACTCGTTTACAAATCCATACGGAGAGGATGGGATCTTTTTATTCAGACATAATGAGACATTTCTTTAACATAAAAATATTGAAAATTTAATAAAACAACAAAAGTTACAAATTCAACATTCAATATATAACTATAATAATGCAGAGAGAGAGAGAGATCACATTTCCAGTTAAAATCATACTACCTCAAAATATATTCTTCTTATTTAGATTCTGTGTGAATGTTCTTATCTTTGGTTAATTCAACACCTTTAAACTTCCAGCAAATCGTTTTTTAATATTTTAAAAACGCTTTCGAACGCTTTAAGCGATCATCATCAGTTAACATTTGTGAATCGAACGAAGAAATTTGAAAATTACGTAAAACGAAATTCAAAAAGCGGTTACATAAATATAAGTAAATACGTTAACATTTACCAAGATTATAAAAGTTAAAACTAAATAAAGAAATAAAATAAATTATATGCATCCAATAAAAATTATCTTATATAATCTTCCCGCTTACATAAATTACGTCACTCATCGTAGAAGGATTTCCATGCCGACGATAATCCGTCAGCATCCCTATGATTAATACAGCTTGTGTGCATTTGCGCCTTGTGAATTTCTAGTTTTTCCAGATGTTTCACAGCCTGCCTGGATTTTGTGGCTTTAATGATCGACGCCCGATCCCAAAAGACTTCGATATTCTGCTGCTTGGCAAAGGCCGCAAGCACTGTAGAGTCTATGTTTTTATTGACTGATTGCTTATGTTCAGCAATCCTTTTCTTTAAGTTTCTTAAGGTTGCCCCTATGTACACTAGATTGGTGTTAAATCTACGGTCTTTTAATGGTATAGAGTACACTCCTGCCATTGCGCTGCGTTCGTAATTGCCTTTATCGTTCCTTAAGAGCCTGTATACGGTGGGATTACGTTTGTAAACTATCCGTACATCCTTATCTCTGGTAACTTTCTTAACCATTCCTTTAAGGAACGGTATGTAATTGAGTACGATTCTCTCTTTGCGTTGATTCCCTCCCTGTGAGGGGAGTCGCTTCCGACAATTCGCGATGAGGGCATCTATTCTTTCTCTACGGTATCCTTGCTGCATCGCCATGTTTCTTATATACTCTAATTCTTTGTAAGTGTCGCAGACGCTGGTGCAATGCGTGTGTGCCCTCCTTATCCACGAACGAAAAACTGCCATTTTTATATGCTCAGGGTCTGCGGAGTTCCTAGGAATGACGACAGGAAGATAAGTAGGTTTCCGGTATATATCTGTTCCGATTTCACCATCTTTGCAAGATATAGTTAAATCTAAAAAATTAACAATGCTTCCATTTTCTTGTTCCAGTTCCAGAGTTAACCCATACGGGTTGTCGTTGATCCGATCTAAAAACTGATTAACTCTGTGATTATCTTTCCATAAAATAAAGATATCGTCCACATATCTTGCGTAAGCCAATATGTCTTCCTGGAATGAGGGGAGTATATCATTTTCGAGATTACGCAACACTAATTCGCAGAGTATAGCTGACATGGGGCTACCCATCGGTACGCCCCGTGTCTGTAAGTAAGTTTTATCTTCAAATTGAAAGAAAGATGTGTGGCATACTAAATCCGCCAATTCCAAGATCTCCATGTGGTATTTCATAGAATTGCTAATTTTTGCTAACAAAAAGTCTCTCAGGGCGCAAAAGCAGGGAGGTATTTTAATTGACGGGTACAGAGCTTTGTAATCTAAAATCGTCATCCATTCTTTATCCATAAGCATGACATCCTCCAACTTTCTTAGCAACTCCACCGCATTTTTTACCGAAAAAGGCGAGTCTTGCATATTTTTCTGTATAAACTTAACCAGTTGTTTCTCCAACTTGAACGTAGGAGCATTACACTTCTCCACAACAGGGCGCAGCTGTGTTCCTGGCTTATGTGTCTTTCCGAACGCGAAAATTCTTGGGGTTCTCGGGGTCTGCACAATAGCCCTCTCCATATCCAGCAGACAGGCCAAAGGTGTTGATTTTTATTTATTGTGTGGTTCCAGTAAGGAAAGTATTTCATTTGGTTAATTCTTCGGCGGCACTTCAATAAACATTTTCTTTACTTAGGAACTTATAAACAAACTTTGTATGAACTTTGGGAGTTAGTTATGGGCGTTGGCCATGGGGAGATGATATGGAATATGTCCTTCTCCTATGGAATTTAGTGGTGTACTCCCCAAATTATACTAAAGAATTCTTTTTTTTGATGTCTTTCTCCAATCAGAAAATTGTATTATTCCCATGTGTTTAGGAAGAGTGGGGGTTTACAAAAGGGTAACTAGACTGTATGTGACTCAAAATTTGTGAAGAAAAGGGAAAACAAAAGGATGTAGAACTTCCGTGAATTTTACCTGTTTCCTTCATTTTTAGCTTAAAATTCTTTCATTTAAATCAGAAATAATATTTCTAACATTTATGGATTTGACATAAATCTTCAATTAATTAAGGGGAAGTGTTCAGAATCTCACATATTTCTTTATTTACTCATTCATTTATTTCTTATTATTTGTTAATTTTTTTGGTATTTTTTTATTATTTATTTTNAAAAAAAAAGGGATTTAAAATATATTCAGTCAAAATTATTGGAAACTGTATAAATTAATTTAATTTTGAATTTATTATATAATAATGATTAAATTGAAACTAGTTATTTAATGACATTGTAAGACAGTTATAATTATATTGTAAAGGCATTCTAATTGATGCATATTTTAAAACTATGAATAATAATCTTTAAATATTGTAGAAATGATATGATAAAAATTATCTGCAAATTTTTAAAATCTGCCATATATATGTAACAAATCAATATTCAAAATTTTAAACAAAATAAGATTTTACTCCATATAATTACTGTAAAAACAAGATGAAAACATCCATATCTTTCAAGAATTTTTTGAGGCAAGTTTTTTATTTTAATTTCAAAACTAAGATTTATTTAATTTAAAAAGTTAAATTTTCTTGTTGATTTTTTTTTTTATTAAATATAATTTTATAGTATTTACTTTTTACTTTTTCTTTTTAATTGCAAACATAAAAAATCTTCAATTGAAAAGTATGAAATTTTAAAACAGTAAAGAAATAATTTACTATTATTTCTTAAATTATTTATTAAAAATAGTAACACAAAAATGAATTTAATATTGTTTTTTTCTTTTCATTTTCAGGAACTTATATGTTCTTCTCAAGATGTATTGGAAGAAAGAGGCGGATTGGTTCGTGTATCTATCACAGTACAAGAACTGCTTAAGCAAACTGAACAGTAGTAAAATATTTAATACCATATAAAATTTTTTATATTATTAAGTGTGATATACAATATTTTTGTCAAATTAAATCATAAATTGATAAATAACAAAATGCATCAAAAGGAAAAATAATATAAAACAAACTGCCTGAAATCTAATTGTTTATAAGTTGTTTTGAGATTTTCTTATACCAAACCTTAACAAATCTTACTTAATAATTATTTATTTTTTAAACACTTAATACTACATTGCATGGGTATAAAACAATATATACAGCAAATATTATATCATTATTTTGGATAAGAAAAATTATAAATATTTACATTTTGAATTTTACAAATATGTAAATTTCTTTATATTTATAAGAAATAAGATAGTGTTACAGATATCAAAATAAATTTTAATGAATGTGCCAAAATAAGGTCACAATAATAATTTAGAAATTATAAATAAATTTTTCTGCTGTTTATACAATCTCTGCATATACAGTGCATCTCACAATTTGCTTTTTATTTATTCAATGAATTTTAATAGTTCTCCATTACATTTTGTATCTATATGCTTTCAGTTAGATATAACTTTAAAACACTGTAATTCAAAATATTAATTTCAGCTTTCATTTTTTATCTCTTTTTACAAAAGAATAAATTTTATTATTCTTTTCTCTTATTACATTATTGGTATTTATGTAAAGTGTTTACATAGTTTACATGTTACTAGCTACAGTATTTAGCAAATATTGTAGCTAGATTTATGTATGACAATTTTCAACAAATTTATAAAACCACAATATTTTTATTATTGAAACTTATTGCAATTTTAATGCATTCTTCTTGTTTTGAGGGAGAAATTTAATATTTTTCAAAATAATTGAGGTTTCTTGAGTGTTTAAAACAAAATTTAATATTTAGTGTAAGGATATAAAATAAGATTTTGCATGTTCATATGACAAGCAGGAAGTGGGTTCAAATTTCACNCACGCCACAGCACACTCAAGCATTAGTAAGCATAACTTATATATAAAGTGCTAAAGAAAACTTTAAGTTTGTTTTTCTCAATTAGTATTTTACAGATAGTACACTCACATGGTGTACTACCTCTACACCAAAGATCATCAAAATCTGTTTCCCCAAAGCCGTAGGGTCTCCTTGTTAGCTTTAGTTAAAGGCAGAAGTCCTTTTGAAACTTTTTGCTTTTTATAATATGATATATCATCAATATATGTAATTTTTTTGGAAAGAAAGTTTATCAAATTATTATTGTAGGTTCCTATAAATTTTTTTTATTTCAGGAAAAACTCTTTAAACTTGAAGATGTAAATAAGTTGGATTTGGCACAGGTATCTCTTACAGTTCAAGCCTTATTGCTTCATTCTACTAGAAAATTGTCTTCAGTCTCACCTTCTGCATCTGACAAAATACTCTCTTATTTCCTTTTAGTTATATTTATTGGAACATGTTGTTTACTTTATTTTTTTCATTCATAAAATAATAACAACTACAATATCAATAATAAAAGCTTAAAGCAGTTCTTCTTTTTCTGAAACAAGGTTAGAGTGCCAAAGATAAATTGGTAAATTACTCAGGTATAGCTTGATATATTTTTAGAATTCAAAAAATAAACTATAATTATAATGTTCACAAATGCAAAAAGCTGCTAATCTCATACTTTTAAAATATTTTATACCTCAAAAAAATATTGCTTTTGTATATTATATTTCTAGTACTTAATTTGTTACCTATAGCATTATAATTGCTAAAATTGAATTAGCCTATATTTTTCTTTTATATATTAAATATAGTTATTATTAAATAATATCAAAATAAGTATTTGCCAAAGATAGATTTCTCTACTATATCTAGTCAGAAATTAACATTAAAATAATGTAATTGAGATAAAATAAGCAATATATATGCAATCAATAGATGAATAAATACCAAATGATTAAAAATATATGAAATAAATGTGTAATTAGCCATATAATGAAAATACATTTATAACTATAGATTTTAAAATTTATTTGTTAAATGATAAATTAAAAAGCATGACTGTCAAAGATTACAGCATATCTTTTGAATGATTTTAATTCATTAAAATGCAAATTAAATATATACAAGATTTTTCATTTAATTAATATAATTCAGAAACACGATGTCTTATTTATACATTTATAATTTTGAATATTTTGGGACCATCCATTTAAACATTAAATCATCCATATAAATTATCTCATTTTTTTAAATAAAAGATGTGAATGTCTGTTAATTCACAGTATTAATTTTTCCATAAAAATCAGTATTAACATGAATTTACTGAAAATATGGATGATATGCCAATAATTGTATAGTTTATGTTACTGTAAACTTTAAGTATTGACAATCCATAGTTATTTTATATATAATTTATGTAAAGTTAAATTAGATTGTTTTTAGTAGTTATGATGTTATCTATAATTTTACTTGTTTACATATTTTTTAATGTATTGTAATTTTTTTATATCCAAAAATGCCAAGAAATGTTTTTTAAGTTATATTGTTTAATTTGTTGAATTTATTTATTAAAAACTTAAGGAATGTTGTAATGAAATCAATATAATACAATATAGTATTTTCTTTTAAATTATATCAATGTACTTTATTTTAAAATATTTTGGCATTTTTTTATTTACAAAATTTTTAAGCACATTTATTTATCATATTATTATATACTTGTATCATATATAGTCAATATGAAAAACTTTTTAAATGTGTGCTAAATGAAAAATGCTTAGGAAGTACTTTTTTTCATTATCAAAATGAAATTTTGAAGTGCCTAAAAATAGTCTTGTTAGAAGTATTATTATTTTTATTACATATTTAATTATAAACAAAGTTAATATATGTATCTGATCAAACTAAAGAATTGTTAATGACTAGTCGATATTTGTCCCATAATATAAATTAAGAATGAAATATTACTAGTATACTCCAAATATATTTAATTATAATAGATATATGAATATTGATTTTTTTTATTTTGAATATAAAATTAGAACAATTTATATGTAAGAAGTCTTTAATAAATTATCTTTATAAAATTTTTGTTTTTGTTGTTTTATTTTTGTTTAATTCTCTTATTTTTATTTATTTATTAATTATTATTTCTTATTCAATTTAGTCAAAAGATAATCTTATATCAGTATTATATAAGATTATCTTTTAGCACAAATACATGCTGTATTATAATGAAAATGGTAATTTATATCAGTTAATTCATATGCATTTAAGAAATAAAAATATAAATAAACAATAACATTTTCAATTAATAAATATGTATGGTATATAAAATTCTGCAGATAATTTTCATAACACTCAATTTTTCAATATTATAATGTAATTTATTTTTAGTTTATCTGCAAAAAAACAAACTTTGTTAATTAAAGCGTACAGTACAATTTAGAACAACTCCAAATCATTAAACTTTACTATCATGAATGTATAAATATAATTTTATACATTGTTTTTTTAGACAACTCTCATATTGTATATATAAGAGTATATATTTAAATTATAAAAATGTCTGTTTAAAAGAATGATGTAAGGTTTATAGGAAATTAATTGAATGAAAAAGTCAAAGAATAGAATAGAATACAGGTTTGTTTTTCTTGGGACTTATTTTAAATAAAATTTTGGTTTCATTTGGTCGTTACTTTAATTCAAATTAAAGTTTTATTTAAACTAGTTCAATTATATTTATATTAAAAATATCAAAAAAGCTGAAATTAAATATGAGGAAGTTATTAAAAATAATTGAAATGGCCAAGGCAGTTAAGACATTATCCTACTGCTCTGGAGGCCTGGAATGTAATCTACAGTTGAAAAAACTTCAGGAATTTTTCAGAAATGCTCTGACTCAGATATGTTGGGCACCATTCTCCACCACTTGGCCTTCTCCATTGCAGATCTAGCTAAATTCATGATGGATGATGCTCATAGGATAGAAAGAGTAAAAAAAAATTAATAGATTTAGTTTGGAATAATAATTAATGCTTTATAAAGGATTTATATTTAAATATGAGATCATCAAAAATAAACATGATTCATTTATTCAAATTACTTATTTAATTACTAAATGTTTATGTAAAAATAATTTTTCCTAATAAGTTATAAATAAAAAAAAAATTATTGAATTTCCAGTTCAGAATAGATTAATTTGAAGTAAAAAAAAAATGATTATTGATTTGAATGAGCTCTTCATTCTCCTTACAATGTTATTATTTAGACATAAGAATAATAAAATAAAGACAAAACCTTTCAATAGTCCAGCAAATTGTTTTAATATCATAAAAACGTTTTCGAATGCTTTAAACGATCATCCTCAGTTATTCTCCCAAATTCAGGAGAATAACTGAGGATGATCGCTTAAAGCGTTCAAAAACGTTTTTAAGATATTAAAACAATTTGCTGGACTATTGAAAGGTTTTGTCTTTATTTTATTTAATTTAGTTCCAGTAAGCAAGTATTTATTTATCATAAGAATAATTATATTGAATGAATTTATACAATGAATTTTTACAACAAATTATACAATACAGTTATACTTAAAAATCTTGTAATTCAGGTAATTATCCCATTGGAAACAATAAATTTCAGTTGTGTGACTTTTTAAATAATATATTTTTAAAGAATTTAATGAAAATTACATTACCATAATCTCTCTTGTAAAATTGATAGAGTATTTAAATTTATTACATCATTACCAATGTTAAGCAGTAAAAGTTTCATGAGATACATATTTTTATATTACAAAGGATAACATTGTACTTTGAGATTATTTCACTACTGTAAGTATTTTTCAAAACCAATAACATTTTTACAATACACACAAACTACAGATCTTAGATAAGATTTATACATTGAAATTTTTCCTTCACCATAACTATAAAAATTAACTATTGAAGTTTGAAACTCACCATTCACTGTTTAAAATTTATTTAAGTTTTTGAAATTATAAGAAACTTCTGAAAAGATTTATATAAATAATCATTGAAATATTAAAGAAATTATTTTTTTGTATCAATAGTGTCCATAGAGTTTGAATTCAAAGATAAAAGTTTTTAAATGAGTCATAAGCCAGCAATTTAAAATCTGATTATTTATAACAATACACCAATAAAAAAAAAGGGATTTAAAATATATTCAGTCAAAATTATTGGAAACTGTATAAATTAATTTAATTTTGAATTTATTATATAATAATGATTAAATTGAAACTAGTTATTTAATGACATTGTAAGACAGTTATAATTATATTGTAAAGGCATTCTAATTGATGCATATTTTAAAACTATGAATAATAATCTTTAAATATTGTAGAAATGATATGATAAAAATTATCTGCAAATTTTTAAAATCTGCCATATATATGTAACAAATCAATATTCAAAATTTTAAACAAAATAAGATTTTACTCCATATAATTACTGTAAAAACAAGATGAAAACATCCATATCTTTCAAGAATTTTTTGAGGCAAGTTTTTTATTTTAATTTCAAAACTAAGATTTATTTAATTTAAAAAGTTAAATTTTCTTGTTGATTTTTTTTTTTATTAAATATAATTTTATAGTATTTACTTTTTACTTTTTCTTTTTAATTGCAAACATAAAAAATCTTCAATTGAAAAGTATGAAATTTTAAAACAGTAAAGAAATAATTTACTATTATTTCTTAAATTATTTATTAAAAATAGTAACACAAAAATGAATTTAATATTGTTTTTTTCTTTTCATTTTCAGGAACTTATATGTTCTTCTCAAGATGTATTGGAAGAAAGAGGCGGATTGGTTCGTGTATCTATCACAGTACAAGAACTGCTTAAGCAAACTGAACAGTAGTAAAATATTTAATACCATATAAAATTTTTTATATTATTAAGTGTGATATACAATATTTTTGTCAAATTAAATCATAAATTGATAAATAACAAAATGCATCAAAAGGAAAAATAATATAAAACAAACTGCCTGAAATCTAATTGTTTATAAGTTGTTTTGAGATTTTCTTATACCAAACCTTAACAAATCTTACTTAATAATTATTTATTTTTTAAACACTTAATACTACATTGCATGGGTATAAAACAATATATACAGCAAATATTATATCATTATTTTGGATAAGAAAAATTATAAATATTTACATTTTGAATTTTACAAATATGTAAATTTCTTTATATTTATAAGAAATAAGATAGTGTTACAGATATCAAAATAAATTTTAATGAATGTGCCAAAATAAGGTCACAATAATAATTTAGAAATTATAAATAAATTTTTCTGCTGTTTATACAATCTCTGCATATACAGTGCATCTCACAATTTGCTTTTTATTTATTCAATGAATTTTAATAGTTCTCCATTACATTTTGTATCTATATGCTTTCAGTTAGATATAACTTTAAAACACTGTAATTCAAAATATTAATTTCAGCTTTCATTTTTTATCTCTTTTTACAAAAGAATAAATTTTATTATTCTTTTCTCTTATTACATTATTGGTATTTATGTAAAGTGTTTACATAGTTTACATGTTACTAGCTACAGTATTTAGCAAATATTGTAGCTAGATTTATGTATGACAATTTTCAACAAATTTATAAAACCACAATATTTTTATTATTGAAACTTATTGCAATTTTAATGCATTCTTCTTGTTTTGAGGGAGAAATTTAATATTTTTCAAAATAATTGAGGTTTCTTGAGTGTTTAAAACAAAATTTAATATTTAGTGTAAGGATATAAAATAAGATTTTCATGTTCATATGACAAGCAGGAAGTGGGTTCAAATTTCACTTGGAAGTTCTTTTCTTTTCCAGAAGCTTTTAAATTAATTATTAAATATTAATTTATAATTAATAAATTCATCAAGATATGGCAATTAACACCTATCTCTAGGCCAAATTACTTGAGTTTTAATTAAAAATTGGATCACATTATTATAGCCTGATTATAATTTGTCAATTGTTTGGTGTTAAACAAGAAATTGGATTGTTTGTATTTGTATATAAGATTTTACTATTTTATTTATGAACAAAAATTTTTTTGAATGAAGCATTAGTAGTTTTACTCCTTTTACATACTTTATTTAAAAAATTATCATCAACATTTATTGTCTATTGGGAATTACTTCCCTATTACAAGGGGGTTGCATTTACATGTTTGCTTTACAATACATTTTGTTTATAAATTTACACTTATTTTTTGCGAATACATTCACATATTCTTTAATTTTGGATCTTATCATTTTATTATTATATTTCACTGATTATATCTATTTTAGTACTTCATTTGTATTAATTTGTTTTGTTTTTATAAATATCTATTATTTTACAAAAATAGTTATAAATTTTATATAAATCTTTTTTACTCATTTTGTTAAAGTTTCTTAACAGTTCAATTAGCGAATTGCATTTATAAATTCGAGTTATGTCATAGTGTTCACAAATCTCATTTAGTTTTGGACATTTTAATATCAAATGATAAGGTGTTAAATCGTCGGAATTACATAAAAAACATTTTGTTAT